TTCAACTCAAAAATTTGTTGGGTGATTGCCTCCATCTGTAGCATCATTGTTGTCTGAAAGTCAGATGACTCTTGGACATTATTTACAGAAAGTGGGCGAGGAGCAGTTCTTCTTGCCCAATTTCTTGTCTTGGCTGCTTTATCCGCATAATGTGTCATGGCCGCATCAGCTGTTAGTTGACTAATATCACCATCTGCTGCTTGGTTGATGAGAATTGTTGTGGCATCATCTAGACCTTTTCCGAAGATGTCGGCAAGCTGCTCTTGTCCGAACCCATGGTGAGGGCATGAATGAAGTAATCCTTGGAATCGTCTCCAGGCGTTATAGAGTGGTTCTCCACTTCGTTGGCGAAAGTGAGATATTCTTTCCTTGATTTCGTCTGTCTTCCATGGAGGAAAGTATTCTTCCACGAAAGCTTGTGCTAGATCATCCCAGGTGGTGAAGCTTCCTGGTGCTTGAGAGTCAAGCCACGACTTAGCTCTTGCTCTAAGTGAGAAAGGAAAAAGTCGTAGCCTGATAGCATCTGCTGGGACTCATTGGTGTTGGACGGAGTCACAAATTTCCAGAAAGACTTGTACATGATGGACGGGGTTGTCATCGTCCTTTCCTTCGAACTGGCCGGCGTTCTGCACCATCTGGATTGTGTTATGGCGTAGTTCGAAGTTTGCTGTTGTGATGGGTGGTCTAGTAATGCTGGAGGCAATACCAGATGCGCTTGGTTTAGCGAAATCGCCCAATGTTCTTTGACGATCTGCCATGATGGTATTTTCTTCCTTCACCTCCTTATAGTCTTCAAATTCTGTCTCACTATCTCTGACTTCAGAGGGATTGCTCACTGTCTCGTAGACAACTTCTTCAAGTTTTCGTTTGTAAAATCTGGTATTTGGTCGATTCATAAAAGGAATCCTAAATGAACAAAAAAACAAAAACAGTAAAAACCCGTGAAAAGCAAGGTAGGAAAATAAATAAAATAATACAAGGAAATAATTCTTTTTCACACAACTAGAAAAAGTCCCCGGCAACGGCGCCAAAATTTGGTGTCGCTAAAAGCGCATGCAAAAATAATCCAGAAAGTGAAACTGACTGGAGTCGTATTTCCCTAGGGTCTTTTCTGTTGTCTTACTCAAGTATTAATATTCTTATGTATAACGAATTAAATGATTTAATTTAGACAAAGATTTGGAAAAGTTGTTTGGTTTAGTTTCCCACTCGATGTTTCATCCCGAATAAACTCAATTTAATTAACAAGTTTTAATACAAATTCCATCCCATCGTAATTTCTAAAATTGAATTCATGCAATTTCTTATCAATAAATTAGTTCAGCTTCTAATTACTAATCTCGGTTTTCACGTCATATTAAATAATTGAAAGTTGATAGATGAAGACCCAAATTACACTCAAGATGGACCACACAAATTAATCATGATTTCTCATGAATTTTACCTGAATGGTTCTTGTATTTGGTGATCAAGGAATCGGAGTGCTGTTTCTAGACGACTCTGTCTTCCAACAATTTCCTAAATGGAAGATCTCTCTTCTCATCTGGGAACAAGATAAACAAACACAAGATATGTTAATTTGTCATAAATCTGTTAGTTAAATTGTGTTAAAAGAGTTGAGATCTTTAATTTCATCGAGGGTTCCACTATTCCAAACAACGTATTTTTTAGTTCTCCATTGAAACGGACAAAGGGCGGAAAGATATAGTTAACTCAAGTGAGATAACCAATCGTATAAACCTAACCCCACTCCACAAATAAATATAAATATAGCACGACTTGGACGAACGGGCGGAAGGACTTAGCTAACTCAAGTGAGCTAGCTAATCGTATAAACCAAACCCTACTCCGAAAATATAAATATGGGGATATGGAAGGACTTAACTAACTCAAGTGAGCTAGCTAATCGTATAAACCAATTCCCCACTTAAAAAGTAAATATGGGAGTAAGGCGGTAATCCGTCCCTATTTTACCCACGATAATAATAGCATGAAAATTAAACGCATAAGAGTATAAAAATTATCAACACCTTGTTGTAAACCAAGTGGAAGAAACGAGAATAGAGTAAGTACGTTATACCAATAAATCACCTAGAAGTTAAATAAACTTCTTATGGTAATTTACTAATGTAACGTATTACCGCTAATCTCAAGAATTAGAACCGTTATCGTATGAAGCATATGACTTTGGATTGAAATACGAATATTACAATGACGATTTGGTAGAGTTTTGACAAGGAAGAATTGAAATGAAACAAGAAGAGTAAGTGCCCCCCTCTATGGTTTAAATCCTCCTCCTTTTATAGGCAATTTTGGTAGGTAGTTGCTTCTCCTTTCCTCCCTTTAATTGTTGTTTATTTTGAACCTTGGTCAGCCTTTGCTGCTTGAAGAACCCGCCACCACATGGAAGCAAGCTTGTCCATTTAATTCAAGCAACTTGCTAAATTCATGACCGAGAGATAAAGGCAAGCAGCTTGCTTGTCGTGTCCATTAATGGACCAGCCTGCTTCCATTAAAATGAGCGGCCAGCTTGCTCAAATTTAAACGTCACTTGCCACCATGTCATGCAGAAGAACGCCAAAATGCTTCAGCTGCTTGCTTAATCTTCCATGTAATAGATGACACTCCACAAGAGCCAACTGCTTGCCCCTTTCATGCATACGTACTTGATGGTTTGTTCACTCTTTCTTACTTGAAAATCATGAGGCCAACGCATCGGTCGTTGATCGTATATTATGGCAATATCGGATTCTAGATTGACCCATTTTCTCCTGACTTTTGTCGACGTGGTTTTCAACGTGGTCACATTCCAAAGTGTGTTGTTAATTAGCTCTCTTTCCGTGATTCATCACCATAATACACGATGATTTTCGTATATTGATAACAAAAAGGAACGCGGCTGAAGTGGTACGGCTCTTTGCCCTCGCCTGGGACGTCGTAGGCTCGAGTTCCACCGATGCCAGATTTCGAACCCTAACCATCTTTTTGTTGAATTGACTCATTATTCTGTTCTTATCGAATAAAATACCCTGAAACACGATCAAACATAAAACCAAGCATAAAATCGGGAAATCGAATGAACTTCGCACAATTTAGTTCATTTTAGGATGTAAAAGTGTAGGTGGATATATGTATAATTTAGGTGTCATCAACCTCATAGGTCACCTAGGTCGTTGTACCTCCTAACTTTGTATCTCTTACTTTCTTCTTTGATGCTTCGTCTTATCCTTTAAACCATAAACTGAGTGGTCATCTCCTCGTTACTTCTGCTTAACTCTGAAACCTCATACTACTGCTTTTACTTCCTGTATGCATTAAAGGCATCCTTTGCATTTCTCTCTAGCTTGCGATCAACCTTATGAATCATTTCAAGAATCGTGATATTCCCAATGGTTTACTTGCTCACTCCTGGCGCCTAACTAGCACTTACTTATAGATGTTTGAATTTGATGTTCTCGTAATATCCATCCTGCCACTCTTAGACCCTAGATGAAACTCCTCGTACGGTTTCCCCGTCCAATAAAGTTTTACCCGAGAGATTGACACCTTTCACTAACATAGGTGATCTTGGTTTCACTTTGGGGTATCCTAGCAGGTTCCCTAAACTCATATCCCTCTTACTTCTTTACTCGTGACTCCTCTTACCAATGTTTCTCGCTAGTTCTATATGTCCATCGTCCTTGATGTAGTCATCTTGGTGCCCATATTCTCTTCTCACTTATGTACCTTGACCGATAAGGTTTTCCCTTCGACCGTTCTGGACCACCACACTTCTACTTTAAAGTTGACCATTGAGCTTCTCAGTTCTTGATGGGCTTCCTATGGTCCCAACTTATTCTCCACTGGCAATCACCTTAACGCCTCCTTGTTTACCTTCGTATTCTTTCGCTGGCTCTTCCTAACTATCTTTCTCCCTGAATTTGTCGTTTTATCAACTACCACCCTTTTCACCATAACTTTCGTTATAGCCTTGTGGTTTCCTCCTTACTTCCACAACTCCTTCATCGATGCTTGGTACTAGCTTTGATCTACTCAGTTTACTAGCTCCTCACCATACCTCAGAGTCAACATTTCCACTAGAAACTTTCTCTAGGTAGACTTGACAGATGACACCCACGACTTCTACTCACGATGGTGCTTGACCACGTCCCAACTATCTTCCTTCATGCATTCATTGTCCGGTCGGCAACCACCTTTTTTATTTTATTTCCTATAGCGTCCTATGGTGTTCTCTTTGCTTCTTTACTTTTACTACCCTTCTGTTGGTGCTTTGTACTATTTTCGGTCACCAAACTCTGTTGAGTATCTTCTCGTTGTTGTTTTAGGTCACAACTTCCAATGGTGGCTTGCCCTTGGTAACCTTTAACATAACTCATTCCATGTCTCTTTTGTTGATCGATCTTGTACATAAACTTAGTCTCTTAGTTAGGATTCTTAGCGGCTTAACTAAGCGTGCCTGTTTCATCCTTAACTAGTTGTCTCCTCTGGAGCCCTCCTACCATGCCACGCCCACTCAGAGTAGGGCACCTTGGATAAGGTAACTTCTCTTTTTCCTCCTTCTCGGTAATGCTTTCCCTCATCGTACCTCTTTGTGCAGCTTCTTGACCTCGAGTCACCTGAGACTTGACCCATTGACTTCTTGAAATCTCGTCAAACTCCCTCTGGCCTTTTTGCTCTTCCTTGGTATTGTTCGCAACCTCTCTTCATTACGACCATTTAGACTCTTCTTCGAATTCTCCAACTTTCATTAGAACTTCTAATGAACGTTTTACTTGCTTGTCTATACCCTGTTGATTGAATGATCTACTCCTACGGCTGGTTCCGAGACTCCCGCTCTTGGCCCTCTAGTTCCCACTTTAGACTTTCCCAATGGATTCCTTGAAATTCCACGATTTTCTGATTCTCCTTGATCATGGTAATTTGCAAGGTCTCTCAACCCCTTCTCATACCTTGTCCTCTAGCTTGTGCTTGACAAGTGTATAGCATGCTTGATCTAACCTCAACCTCTACATCATTTATCTCGTTGCTTGTCTTGTTCCTTTTAAAGGCTTGCTATCAGCTGACACGCCAAAACACAACACCAATCTGCGACCAAGTGTAATCGCAGACCGGGAATGCAGTAACAGGCAAGTTATATTATCAACCCGGGGTCTAGATCTACTGCTTACTCAGTGATTCTCTGTTATCTAGCCAACTAAAGTGAGTGATTCTTGTTTAAAAGCAAAAATAAAGCAGGAATTTATTCGGTTTTCTCAAGCAGGAAAGAGTCACTCGGGAATGAGTCCCCCTAGCTCCTTAGTTAGGTCCAAGTTGTATTTCCCTGGGTTGATTTACTGTTGATTAAACTGCGGAAGATCCGACAGTAGCTTGGAATCTTTTAAGCTGACCAAGCCCTCTCAGTCTAACTATCCGGCAGACGACTAGTCTTCACCGAGATAGAAAGATGAAGAAATAAGCACAGAACTCCACTACTGGAATTGGATTCCAGTACAAAGTAGTAAACTGGCTAACTCTCGTATAGCCAATCTCCTACTACCGAATGATGAGACTCTAGCAACCTAATCAGATTCTATCTATCTCAGATTGCAGCAGAAATCAGGAAAAGTTGATCAGACTTCAATTGACTCAATAAACATGCATCATTCGATTATAATTAAACAATATAGCATCCAAAACTTCATACAAGAAAGATCCTAACTCATGGAACTAGGGTTCCTCAAAACCTAAGTGAAGGGAAGTTACTCCATAGAGAAGAGAGAGACTGCAGAAATCTGATCTAGATCTTCAATCTCCATCTCCAAGCTTGATTCCCGAGCTCCAATGGCGAAGAAATCCTCCAAAATAGCTCCAAGAATGTTCCCAAGTCGCTCTCTCTCTCTAGGGTTCGTCCCTTGGGTGTTTGGGATCCAAAATCCAGCTCTCCCTCTTTCCTTTTGCTGAAAATCGGGTTTTAAACAGCAATTCCCGACTCACACGGCCAGGCCACACGGCCGTGTTGCTTTCCCAGCTGCCCGTGTGAGCCCTCGGTGATTTCCACACGGCCATATGGCCAGTTCACACGGCCGTGTGGGTCATGCCCGTGTGGCTTGCTCAGCCTCTATTTAATGCTTCGTTTCTCCCTCGTCCGGACTCCGAATCAGTCCCCGTTTGATCCCAGACGCTCGTAGTCTCGTCCTCTTTCTTTTCATACAAAGATTGCATGATTATTTGTCCATAAAGTAAGGTAGAAATCCATTCTTCTTCAGGTCATGCCCGAGTTTCTTCTCCCGAATCGTCAATTGATCTCTGATTGATTTGAAACTTGCGCCTATGCTTCACTTTATGTGCTAGGACCTGAAATGTGACAAAGGAACACAACCTAGCGTAAAATAGGCCAAAGACACGATAATTCAAGCTCAAACAATCAAGAAACAAAGGAGAAAACATGTGCAAATACCAAGTCATCAAATCCCCCCACACTTAACTGTTTGCTTGTCCCCAAGCAAACCTAACTCAAACCAATGCAGCTCTCCAGAGCTCTATAGCAACATACAACCCCGATCGTCGGTAGAGGATTTCCTAGATCATATAGCAGCTTACGAGGTCAACTGGTCTTCTAAGACGTTCCCTATCTCTCTTAATGCGAGTACTAGACTCAAACCAGGATCATGAGAAAAAGTAGAAGTAAGACAGTCAGTTCATGGATAAAGGGACTCACACCATTCACAACCAAGGATTCGTTGTACCGGGGTGCTCTTTCACTTCATTTCACCATTGGAACCCTTTTTCTCACTTTCATTTACAATTTGTCTTTCATTTGGTGGGGTTCCAACTGCAGTCTTTTGCACGGTCGACCCTTATTAGTCGAGCAAGAGCAATTTCTGTACATCTGGAGCTCGCCAGAGTACTTCTTTTAACTCCTTTTCCTCAACTCGTGTGGAGGGTCAATGAAATTAAGGGGGGTCGGAAGCTCTATCCGTGCCCTTAAAAACACATCCTCAAGTAGGCAAACCGTTCAACGGGTGGAAGTTTTACTTGTACTAGAGACAACTTAGCTTCACCTTGTAGGAGTACCCCACTAAGGATCACTAAAATCTCTTCCAAAACCCGATTTTGTGCAATGAACGGTGCCGCACACGTTGGGCTTACCCGATGTTTAAGATTTAATGATTTTGACATGGAGGACCAACTGCTTCCCATTTTCCATATGAGCACCCTGTTCGATACACGAGTCCATAACATAATCCAAACAGAGTCACCATTACCACCTGAATTCAACGGTCTTAGCTCCACTAATTCACAAAATCAACTGGCACAACAGAGAGCTAGATAGGAAAAATCTTATACTTCAACATCCTCCATAGTGCTACACTACCTCCCTAGGTTGCACATTACTATAGAGACTGTCAATTCAAAGCATACTGAGCAGGCAATTTGCAAGGAAACACGTACTTGGAGCCCTCAAATTTAAAAATTTGGACAGTGGACTAGGCTCCAAGCACACAAACAGCCAAACACTCACCCGCATACATAATTGAACACCCCCCCCCCACACTTAAACACGACATTGTCCTCAATGGAGGAAAGATAAGGAGGGTAGAACGAAGTTACCAGATCAAGGGTGAATGATGATGTACGGGTCAGGCAGTGCATTCCAGGAAGAGAGAGTAATCAGAACACAAACACCACACAAAGTCTCACAAAGGTTGAGTTATTGACTCTAAAATCAAATAACAAAACTGACTCAACTGAGGAGAAATAGAGAAAGAAATGCAAATCGACTGGTTGGGTTGCCTCCCAACATGCGCTTCTTTCACGTCGTGAGCCAGACGATGGCTCCTAAGTTTCGGTCCATGCTAGAACCTCCTTGAAGTTGAGGTTCTCGTCGATGAGGTGGAGTCTCAAGTCACGAGCATGTGGTGTGGCAGGTGATGAAGGCTCATGTACTTGATGCAGATGAAGTCTTCACCCTCGAGACCTCTTCTTCTCTTCTCTCGTCTCATTGCCCCAAACCAGATATGACAGCATCGATTGGCCACCATCGCGTCCACCAAGAGGGACCGATGTCGATGTGGCCTTGGTCTGGCAAAGAGACACTGCAAATGGGTCCTTGCCAAGCAGTTCCTCAAAGTTTGGTGGGGATATTACTTGCAACTCATGGCCGGTGCATGCCTCTTCCACCTCAACTTCATCCTCAGCCTGGACGCCAGTTGCTTCCTCAACCCCCCTTCCTTCTTCAAAATGTGGTCTCTCCCCTGGGAAAATATCAAGAACCACCTCTTCTTTTATTTCTTCCTCATCATCCACAACTTTCTTCCTCATCCTTGCTCGCTCTTCTTCTTCTAGAACAGATTGGAGAGCAAGTCGCCAAGCAATTTCTTCAATGGGATCATCTTGCATCTCCTCGCACGGGCCCAACATGTTAGAGCATAAATGAGGAAAGGTGTGGTCTGCAACCAAAGGACTTTCCTGATCATGGTTATCATGGGAGTTCTCTGTGATGACTTCTGTATGCTCCTCAACGCTCCCATAGCCTTTGTCATCCTCCACCTCTTCTAGCGTGGCAGCAGAAAGGTGATCTTGAGCAAGATGTGAGCAAACTTGCTTCACCCACTCTGTTTGCTTCGCTGAGCGCTGAACAGTCTCCTCCATATCATGGAGAAATGAGGGATCGGAAGTGGCAAGGGCTTTGATTTGAAGATCCATCTTGGAGCATGATTTCTCAGTGTCTCGAGCAAACTGCTCCACGAGAAGCCTTAATTGTTCGTTCGGATCCTCCAGTGAAGTGTAGCATGGCTCTGCAGAGTGGCCCGTGAAGGCCGCCATGGGTAACTCCAGCTCCGATGGCCCTTCTGGTTGTGGGAGAAAGTCTTCTTGGTAATGAGGTTGTTCTTGATATGCCCAGGGGTCTGATTGTTCTCCGTAGTAAGGGGGTTGGTACTGGAACCCGAATCCATAGTCTTCTCCTCCTTGATTGCTGTAGGGAGTCGCGGGGTAATACCACCCGGACATGTACCCTCTTCTCTAGTGAGGTAGTTTATCTATAAGAGTCCTTTATCGTTATATGTAAACGACCATGCCTCCTCTCCGCCTTGACCTTTTGACTTCTTGAAGTCCTTTCATACTCCCTGTAACCTACTCATTTCCTCCTTTTCTTCATTTATACTACCATATCTTTTCTTAAAGTCTAAGCTTTCCACTACTCCTTGTCACTGTGTTGTAATAGCGTTGAGCCGCCGCCGACCAAAACTAGTTTAGGGACGTTTCGTGGTACCTCTTCATTTCTTGATTCGTCGCCTCCATGTGCTTAGGGTAAGGACCCTAAAATCCTTCCATTATCATAACTACTGGCGTCTAATGATTGTAGCTCTTTCTCCGGAGATTCATAGCTCTCCTATTTGTATATCTTAACCTATTAGATCACTTGTTAGTAGCTAAGTAGAAAAATCCTCATAGTGCTCCTTTGACTCCTTTGATTCCTCATACCTATACCTCAGGATAGAACTTTGCGATTGACGCACCCTTTTATTAGGACTAAAGTTATTTATCTTAATACGATTCCAGTATTCCTTGGAAACCAATGAACAGAGGAAGACCGGCTCTGATACCAAAATGTAACACCCTAACTCGGCCGGAACCTACTTTTACTAAAATTCGCTTGATAAATAAAATACTCAAATCTTAAATTGCAGCAGTGACTCGCTATGACATAACTCCTAACAATGGCCAAGTGTAACCAATGGAAGGGACTGCAATAAAGTGGCTCAAGTAATAAATATCGAATCCACGGGTCTCTAGAGTTACTATTACTCAGCTTCAGTTCATTATCTAGCAAACCAGATTAAGATGGAAGAACTAAAACTACTGTAACAAACTACAGTTAAAGTTAATCTAATTACAGGTTGGGAACTCACTTAGGTATGATTCCCCCTAGCCACTAGCCAGACTAACCTGTTTCACTTTCATTCACAATGCGGAGAATCCTTGACTAGACCTTGAGTCTCGACTAAAGGAACAAGGCCCTCTTGAGTCAATTGCCTAGAGGGATGTATCCTTCTCTAGAACAACCGATCAAGGCGTTCTGAACTAGATTCCCTCTATCGAATGAGGTTCTCAATCGATACAAAGCACTGAATCAACCCTCGACTAAAGCAATCGATCCACTACTATCAATCTATGGTGCTCTATTGACCTAATCAGGTATTCGCTCTCATAGGATCAAAGCAGAATCAATAATCTCGACTAAAGCAGAATTGAATCATGAAAACATGCATAGATTGAATATGAACTCAAGATTATCAAGTCAGGTAGGCAAATCGTTCAACGGGTGGAAGTTTTACTTGTACTAGAGACAACTTAGCTTCACCTTGTAGGAGTTTCCCACTAAGGATCACTAAAATCTCTTCCAAAACCCGATTTGGTGCAATGAACGGTGCCGCACACGTTGGGCTTACCCCATGTTCAAGATTTCGATGATTTCGACATGGAGGACCAACAACTTTTTATTTTCCACATGAGCACCTTGTTCGATACACGAGTCCATAACACAATTCCAACAGAGTCACCATTACCACATGAATTCAACGGTCTTAGCTCCACTAATTCAAAAAATCAACTGGCACAACAGAGATAGGAAAAATCTTATACTTCAACATCCTCCATAGTGCTACACTACCTCCGTAGGTTGCATATTACTATAGAGACTGTCAATTCAAAGCATACTGAGCAGGTAATTTGCAAGGAAACACGTACTTTGAGCCCTCAAATTTAAAAATTTGGGCAGTGGACTAGGCTCCAAGCACACAAACAGCCAAACATTCACCCGCATACATAATCGAACATCCCCCAACACTTACGCACGACATTGTCCTCAATGGAGGAAAGATAAGGAGGGTAGAACGAAGTTACCAGATCAAGGGTGACTGATGGTGGACGGTGCAGGCGGTGTATTCAGGAGGAGAGAGTAGTTGGAACACAAACACCACAAAATCTTACAAAGGTTGAGTTATTGACTCTAAAATCAAAGAACAAAACTGACTCAACCAAGGTGAAATAGAGAAAGAAATGCAAACCGACTGGTTGGGTTGCCTACCAACAAGCGCTTCTTTCATGTCGTGAGCCGGACGATTGTTCCTAAGTTTCGGTCCACCCCAAAACCTCCTTGAAGTTGAGGTTCTCGTCGATGAGGTGGAGTCTCAAGTCCCGAGCATGTGGTATGACAGGTGATGGAAGCTCGTGCACTTGATGCAGATAACGTCTCCACCCTCGAGACCTCTTCTTCTCTTCTCTCGTCTCATTGCCCCAAACTAGATATGACAGCATCGATTGGCCACCATCGCGTCCACCAAGAGGGACCGATGTCGCCGTGGCCTTGGTCTGGCAAAGAGACACTGCAATTGGGTCCTTGCTAAGTAGTTCCTCGAAGTTTGGTGGAGATATCACAAGTAACTCATAGCCGGTGCAAGCCTCTTCCACCTCAACTTCGTCCTCAGCCTGGACGCCAATTGCTTCTTCAACCTCCCTTTCTTCTTCATGTGGTATCACCCCTGGGAAATGATCAAGAACTCCTCCTACTTCACTTTCTAGCACGGATTGGAGAGCAAGTTGCCAAGCAATTTCTTTCATGGGATCTTCTTGCATCTCCTCACTCATGCCCGCCTCTTCAAAGCTCGGTGTGGGATGTGGGAAGGGGTGGTCGGCTACGACAGGACATTCTTGATCATGATCTTCATGGGAGCTCTCCGTGATAATCTCTGTTTGCTCCACAATGTCATTGTAGCCTTCTTCCTCCTCCTCCTCTACTAGTATGGTAGCAGACGGGTGATCTTGAGCAAGTTGTGCACAAACTTGCTCAACCCGCTCTGGTTGCTTTGATGAGTGCGAAAAAGTCTCCTCCGATTCACCGAGGGATGAAGAGTTAAGAGGAGCAACAGATGAGAAAAGGAGGTCCATCTTGCGAGCATACTGCTCCACGAGAAGACTCAATTCATAGTTTGGATCTGACTGTGGAGTGTAGCATGGCTCTGCAGAATGGCCCGTGAAGGCCGCCATGGGTAACTCCAGCGCCGATGGCCCTTCTGGTTTTGGGAGAAATTCTTCTTGGTAATGAGGTTGTTCTTGATATGCCCAGGGGTCCGGTTGTTCTCCGTAGTAAGGGGGTTGGTACTGGAACCCGAATCCATAGTCTTCTCCTCCTTCATTGCTCCAGGGAGTCTCGGGGTAATACCACTCGGATGGTGGTGGATACCCCCAATCATTGGAGAAGCCATGAAGATCCATGATTCAAATCTGCACAAACAGAAACAAAAACACCCAAGTGAAAAGCAAGGGTGGAAAAGAAAAGAAAAGAAAAAACGCTAAAGTAACAAACTTCTGCCTTTCCTAATACTCTAGAAAGTCCCCGGCAACGGCGCCAAAAACTTGACTCGCTATGACACAACTCCTAACAATGGCCAAGTGTAACCAATGGAAGGGACTGCAGTATAGTGGCTCAAGTAATAAATATTGAATCCACGGGTCTCTAGAGTTACTATTACTCAGCTTCAGGTCATTATCTAGCAAACCAGATTAAGATGGAAGAACTAAAACTACTCTAACAAACTACAGTTAAAGTTAATCTAATTACAGGTTGGGAACTCACTTAGGTATGATTCCCCCTAGCCACTAGCCAGACTCACGATTGATGATTTCTAACTTGTTTCACTTTCATTCATAATGCGGAGAATCCTTGACTAGACCTTGAGTCTCGACTAAAGGAACAAAGCCCTCTTGAGTCAATTGCCTAGAGGGACGTATCCTTCTCTAGAACAACCGATCAAGGCGTTCTGAACTAGATTCCCTCTATCGAATGAGGTTCTCAATCGATACAAAGTAGTGAATCAACCCTCGACTAAAGCAATCGATCCACTACTATCAATCTATGGTGCTCTATTGACCTAATCAGGTATTCGCTCTCATAGGATCAAAGCAGAATAAATAATCTCGACTAAAGCAGAATTGAATCATGAAAACATGCATAGATTGAATATGAACTCAAGATTATAAAGTCAGAGTACTCATACAATCATCCGATCAAACAAACATAGCTAGGGTTCCTCAAAACCTAAGTGAAGGGAAGTTACTCCATAGAGAAGAGAGAGACTGCAGTAAGAATCTTCAGATGATCAGTCTTCAAGTCTGGGCTTGTTCCTCGAGCTTCCAAGGTGAAGAAATCCTCCAATTCCACTCTTAGAATGCCCTCAAATCGCCCTCTCTCTCTTTGGTTCGTCCCTTGGGTGTTTGGGATCCAAAACCCAACTCTCCCTTTCCTTTGGCTTCAATCTGCCTAAAAAGCCCGATTCTGGGCAAAACACGGTCGAGGAAACGGCCGTGTTTCACTTTTGCCCGCCCTTGTTTTCCCCCCAGCAGCCCTCGTCATCCAAAACACAGTCGTGCCTAAATATGGACACGGCCGTGTTTTGATTTAGGCGCGCCAGTGTTTTTACTGCCGAACTTGTTCCCCTATATTCAATGCTTCGTTTCTCCCTCGTCTGGACTCTGAATCAGTGGCCATTTGATCCCAACCTAGCATTAAATAGGCCAAAGACGCGATAATTAAAGCTCAAACAGTCGAGAAACAAAGCGGAAAACATGTGCAAATATCGAGTCATCAAGCAGGAAATGTTTTCATAAATAAAATACTGAAAACACACACTTGCAGTTCAAAGCAAAGCCCTAACACGTGGGCAAATTAAGCTCAAACTTTAAAATCTCAATCTGATCTCTAGTCTATACTCATAATCATAAAATGCAAATAACTAGGTAGTCTCTGTCGTTGCTGCTACTGAAAATCTTAACTAGGCACCCTCCGTGACGCTTACACTGCCCTTTCTCTAGCTGGCTGCCCTCGAACTTGCTGCTCACTAACTACTCCTCTAGCTCCTTCTCTAGCTCGTCAAACTGGTGAGTGAGATGGGGTCAGTCTACGCCCTTACGTTAACACCTTATTAATACTTGATCACTTTACTTAACTTAGTGGAAGTTGTTTTACACTTCCACTATTAAAAATCTTTAATCTTAAAATTGTATTCTTAAAGCTCAAAATCTCCACTTAAAATACTTGACTGACACGGGGATCCCTCACTAGCTAGTCCGGTTGCCCAACTCATACGTATGAGAAGCCATCCAGGCTTTCCTTAAACTTAAACTTAGTTAGGGAAGTCGTAACGATTCATCCCCCTAACATCTTAAACTTATCGTGGTGGCTCTTCACCATGATTCTCAAGAGCATAACTGCTGCTCATCTTAAAAGTCTCAAGAGCATAACTGCTGCTCTATCTCAAAATGTCTCAAAAGGCAACGGACTGGCGCTAGTGACTAAAAAAAACTTAAAACGACTTCACCTTCTTAAAGGTGAGTTACTTCTTAAAAAGTACTTGTTTCTTAAACTTGAACTTACTTGTAAGTAAAGCATGCAATAACATACAACTGAAAGCATATTCACGCAAACTCACATGGCATCATAGAAACACACAAAGACAAGTACAACACATAGCAATCAATCTCAAAGAACTCAAATAACGTAAGGCGTCGAATTTACCCCCTTTACACTAACCTGACTATATAGATAAAATCAATCGGCTTTATGAACTAGGTACTCCAAAAGATGTCATGGAACAGCTTAGCATTTAATCGACGATGCTCCCTGATCAACTCCATTCGTCTCGGCCGCCAAAAATCAACCACAACAAATTGCCCAAGCCATGTTAAAGCACCTCCATATTTACTTAACCGTTTCACTTGATATCCCTCTATGAAGTAACCGAATGCGAGTAGTGTAGGTAACTTACCCAAAACCATACGCTTCTGTAATTTTTCGCTTGTCGATGGAATTTATAAAGAGGGACCACGTTTTGGATTTGGCCCTGCTCGTATCCAAATCCTCTTCCACTGACTCCTTATTTCGGCCTTGTTGCTTAAACAGGCAGCTGGGCATCAATAATGTCAATCTCCTTGGTCCGTTGTTGAAATCATAAGCAGGCAACTGGCGTAGTAGCGGGGCACGTCCATTATCCGAAGCTGGCAGGTCTAGGCAAGCACCTGACGTAGTAGAGAGAAGGTCGTCCATTATCAATCAGACTTATCCGAAGCAGGCAGGTCTAAGGAAGCACCTGACATAGTAAAGTGAAGGTTGTCCCAATCAGGCACGTCCATTACCCGGGGCAGGCAGGTCTAGGCAAGCACCTGACATAGTAGGGAGAAGGTTGTCCATTACCAACGAGGCAGTTGTCGATATCGCTGCAGTTGTCGCCAATTGCCTAAGCCGGCTGCTCTCGTATTAGCCGAGCAAGCTGCTCTCGTCATAGCGGGGAAAAGCAGCCCCACGTCAATGACAAGCTACAGCCCGATGCCTCTGCCTCCCTTCTCGTAGAAAAGCATGTCAAAGCCGATGACTCCCGTGACCTCGCAGCAGAGCAAGCAGTCTTCCTTGATTGCGCCGCTGTTGCTCGGATTTCCCGAGAGCAAGCTGTTGTAGGGTGGAAGGTAAAAGGCAGCTGGGGATTAACTATTGAGGTGAGGCCGAGTGGGGTAGAGTGAGGGTCTAGGGTTTAATTAGTTAGGGGATATTTTGGGAATTTTACAGTTACGTGTGAGTTTAATCCGAGTGGGGCAGAGATCGTGAAGCTTATGGATGTCGTGATCATTTTTGCTATATTTGATAGCAAGTGGGTCAGCCCCACTCAGGTGGTCCCAAAGAAAGGCGGGATGACTGTGGTCCTGAACGTGAAGAACGAGTTGATCCAGTTGCGGACTATGACCGCCTAGCGTGTCGGCATCGACTATCGGCACCTAAACGACGCCACCAGGAAGGACCATTTCTCGCTTCCTTTCATTGACCAGATGATGGAGTGGTTGGCGGGACATGAGTTCTACTGCTTCCTGGACGGCATGTCCGGGTACTTCCTGATTCCAATCGGACTAGAGGATCAGGTGAAGGCCACCTTCACTTGTCCCTTTGGAACTCTTGCGTACCAGAGGATTCCTTTTGAGCTCTGCCAAGCACAAGCAACATTCCAGCATGTATGGTGGCGATCTTCGACCGAATGGTTGGAGAGATCATGGAAGTCTTCATGGATGACCTCTCTTTTATGGAGATTCGTTCTCTCACCGTCTCCATAACCTGGAACTTTTCCTAAAGAGTTGCGAGGAGACTAATTTTGCACTCAGCTAGGAGAAGTGCCATTTCGTGGTTCGTGAGGGGATTGTGCTCGGGCATAAGATCTCCAAGTAGGGGATTGAGGTAGATCGTGCGAAGATTGAGACGATCAGAAAGTTTCCTCCACCTGTTTTGGTGAAGGGGATCCACAGCTTTCTGGGTCATGCAGGCTTATTCAGGAGATTTTTTAAAGATTTCTCGAAGATCGTCTTGCCCTTGACCAAGCTGCTAGAGAAGGATGCACTCTTTCATTTCACTCCAGAGAGCATGGCTGCATTCGAAACCTTAAAGGAGAAGTTTACCCATGCACCCATCAGGGTGACTCCTGATTGGTCTCTCCCATTCAAGCTGATGTGTGATGCGAGCGATTATGCAGTTGGAGGTGTTCTGGGTCAGAGACGTTGTAGACACCCCATTTTGTTCGGGTTGATACATGATCAACTTTGAGAACTTAAATTTGTTTGAGGTTGACAATTGCGGATCTAAATCAATCTTTTATCTAAATATCTAAATTAATGTAAATTTGTGAGTGTTTATATTGACCCGACGAGATTAGCAATAGCAAATCTAAGAAGGTCACTTTTGTTCAAGGTTGCATTGGACATGGTCAACTCAATGTCATGATGATTTGTTCCAATTGAAGTTTAGGTGTCGAAATCCTCGTTAATCATTTCAATAGAGTTGATTTAATTCTACGCATGAGGATGGGCTTCGATTTGGATTGATGAAAGAAAATAACAAAATAAAGAATTTATTGGCCAAAAATTCTCGTTAAATAATAATTACAAACAGTTAAAATAGTAATTGTAAAAACAAAGTCCATACAGTCAAGCCCAGTCGACTATGGTCAAGCCCAACTCAAAAGTCAACCAAAAGTCTAAGTCCTAATCATCTACAACCCGGCCCATATCCGGGCTGACCGAACCAACACCCAATATTACCGACCCAAATTTGTTTAACCAAGAACCGGTGTTGTAGCAAGCTTGGGGGAACAAGCAACCTTTTTCCTGTAAAAGACTATCTTCCCTATCAAATCCAGAGACGGAGAGACAACAATGGGGACCTTCTTCTTCTTCTTCAACCACCGGTAGTAGAGAAAAAAACAATAGGGGAAAGGGTACTTATTTCTTTTTTTGGCTTCTTCTTCTTCACTTTCCCATCCTAACAAAAGAGGACTATTTCTTCATCATCTTCCCATGCACTTCCCTTCCTATAAACACAAAAAAACCTTCACAGTTGTTCTCTTTTCTTAATCTAAAACAACACCAACCCACCAACAGACAACCAGAAAACACACAGAAGCACCCCGAAAAACAGACGGAAAACACAAAACGATTACTCTTTTCCCCTTCTCGTTCTCAGACACAAAAAAAAACACAGATAAATCCCTTCACACCTCTTTTTCTTCTTCTTACCAAGCAAAATAATAAACAAAAACCAACAAATCCAAACCCAAAGTACAATAAGGGAGTAGCAAAAGGCAGAAGAAAGTCCCCAGAAACATGGAAAGGAAGGAAGAGTCAACAACAAACATCAAGTGAAAAGGTTGGTAGAATACTTCATCATTCATCTTATAAATCATTAAGTAAAAATCCATCTCTATTTCTACATTTCCATAGAAAACTTTGATGATAATCATAAAGCCGAATTTCCAGAAAACACCACCATTTAAAACCTCAAAACCCAGAAAATTAACCCATCCAACATACCACCAATTTCCAAAATCACCGAGCATACAATCACATCTGTATTGTTTCCCATCTATGGATATGTAAACCTGTTTACCAACCACAACCATTACGCACAAATCATGTTTATGTTCATAACACTATAACCTATCCCATTGCTAAACGAAATCAAATTTCCAGAGTCAAATCCTCCAAACACCGCATAACCTCATATATCATTGTACTTTTAGAAAACCAAGAGTTCAAAATCCATTAACCACCGAATCCCATTTCATTTTTTACCCCACAATCATACAAATTTGAGAAACGGGGGAATATTACATAGTGTTCTCCCGCCTAGATGTCTTCCAAAAAATAAGAAGAGAAGGGGTCAGAATTTTCAAACCGAATAAACACACAAATTTAGAGATTTACATATATCATAAGCACTGCTCATTTCACAACTCAATTACCCCTAGGTTCCTATCCATCACAGCCGAATCCATCTCAAAATTCAAGCATTCAAATCAATCTTAAAAAAAGACACAAAGCTCCTAGTGATTGCAAGCAATAGCAGTGAACTGTGAGGCCCACCCACATGGCCTGTTGGAGGAAGGTGGTGGCGGTGATTAAATGGACACCGAAAATTTGGGTGGGAATTTAATTCCTTTTCTTCGCAATTCTGCTATAAAAGGAACGCTAGCTCCCAACATTGATCATCTTATCTCATTTTCATTCTTCTTCTTCTGTTGTTGTGTTTCATTGCTCTCATTTGCTAGCTTACGAGCTATTTCTTCCTTGTGGGTTTTGGTAGTGAAACGTTTTCACTACCATGGGTAGATAGGAGATTTCTTGTGAGCGAAATAGTGAGGTTGTTCAGGGAAACACCGAGTGTTCTATTTCCTTGTATCTTGAAATTCTCTGTAACCTACTATTGCAATGGCGAAGAAATACTCTGGAGCTATTGTTCCCGTGGACTGGCCCAAATCAGGCTATACCACGTAAATCCTCGGTATTATTTACTTACTATGCTTGTTGTTATTTTGAGAATAGTTGTAGTATATTGCATTATTAAATTACCAAATTAAATTGTTCTAAAAAAGTTGATTACCATAATTCTGGAGGACCACCGCCAGGTCCAACTTATCTGGGAACCTTTTACAAGCGTGTGATTTTTTAATTCAATATATTTACCCGCTATTCTCACCCGTTGTGCCCAACAAGTAGTATCAAAGCCACGTCCAATGGTGGCAAAAACAAGCAAGATGATCAGTCAGAATGGCTCAACTATCACATATGGAGAAACAAGATGAAGGATCTCCTACTCGTGACGGAGTTGCATTTGTCGGTGTTTAGTCCAGCTAAACTTGATGGAAAACTGACTAGGAATGGGAGTTCAAGCATGAGCAAGTATGCGGATACATTCGACAGTTCGTCAACGAAAATGTGTAAGCCACATTAGCAAAGAGACTCATGCCAGAACTCTGTGGAACAAGCTGGAGGCACTTTATGCATCAAAGACCGGCAACAACAAATTATTTTTTCTGACCAAGTTGGTGCAGACGAAATACAAGGAAGGCACATCCTTGGCAGATCATAGTGGATAAGTTGTCCGGTATGGGCATAAAGATGGGTGATAACGATGTATTTGCACGTTTTTGCACCCTTATTTCTTATCCGTTTGCGACTCCTAGTCGTGCATTTTCTGCCTATTTTACGCTAGGTTGCGTTCCTTTTTCACATTTCAAGTCCTATTATGTAAAGGGAGGCATAGGCGCAAGTTTCAAGTCAATCGGATATCAATTTGCGATTCGGGAGAAGAAACTCGGGCATGACCTGAAGAAGAACGGATTTATACCTTATTTATGGATAAAGAATCATGCAAGCTTGTCATGAAAAGAAAGAGGACGAGACTACGAGCTTCTGGGATCAAACAACGACTGATTCGTAGTCCGGACAAGGGAGAAACGAAGCATTGAATATAGGGGAACATGTTCGGCAGTAAAAACACGGGCAGACTACCCTAAAAACACGACCGTGTTTTATATGGCCCCCGCTAGTGTTTTTACTGCCGAGGGCGTGTCGTGATGGCTGTTGGGGGCAAAACACGGGCGGGCAAAAGTAAAACATGACCGTGTCCTCGACTGTGTTTTGCCCAGAATCGGGTTTTTCAGGCAGATTCAAGCCAAAGGAAAGAGAGAGCTGGGTTTTGGTTCCCAAACACCCAAGGGACGAACCCCAGAGAGAGAGAGCGACTTGGGAACATTCTTGGAGCTATTTTGGAGGATTTCTTCGCCATTGGAGCTCGGGATCAAGCTTGGAGATGGAGATTGAAGATCTAGATCAGATTTCTATAGTCTCTCTCTTCTCCTATGGACTAACTTCCCTTCACTTAGGTTTTGAGGAACCATAGTTCCATGTGTTAGGATCTTTCTTGTATGAAGTTTTGGATGTTATATTGTTTGATTATAATCGATTGAGGCATGAGTTATTGAGTCAATTGAATCTTGATCAAATTATCTTGATTTCTGCTTTAACCTATGATAGATAGAATCTGATTAGGTTAAGAGAGCTTCCTTGATTGATAGTGGTGAATTGGTTGTGCGAGAGTCAGTCAATTCACTGATTTGTACTGGAATTCATTCTAGTAGTGGAGATCTGTGTGAATCGCCTTAGCAGTCTATCCCGGTGAAGGCTAGTCGCTTGCCGGGTATTCTGTCTAAGAGGGCTTGGTCAGCTTAAGAGATTCCAAGCTAATTTAGGATCTTCCGCAGTTTAATCAATAGTAGATCAACCAAAGGTAATTGCAACTTGGACCTGATTGAGGATCTAGGGGGAATCATACCTAAGTGAGTTCCCAACTTGTAATTAGTAGAGTAGTTTAGTAAATCAATCCTTAATCTAGTTTGCTAGATAAAGAACTGAAGCTGAGTAATAGTAACTCTAGAGACCCATGGATTCAATATTTATTACTTGTACCACTATACTGCAATCCCTTTCATTGTTAGGTGTTGTGTTTTAGTGAGTCAAGTTTTTTGCGCCGTTGCCGAGGACTTTCTAGATTATTAGGAAAGGCAGAAGTTTGTTACTTTAGCGGTTTTTTTTCCACCCTTGCTTTTCACTTGGGTGTTTTTGGCAGATCTGAATCATGGATCCTAATGGCTTCTCCAATCAGTGGGGGTATCCACCACCATCTGAGTGGTATTACTCCGAGACTTCCTGGAGCAATCAAGGAGGAGAAGACTATGGATTCGGGTTCCAGTACCAACCCCCTTACTACGGAGAACAATCAGACCCCTGGGCATATCAAGAACAACCTCCTTATCAAGAAGAATTCCTCCCACAACCAGAAGGGCCATCAGATCTTGATTCAGCCACAGCCCTCAAGGGCCATCCGGCAGAGCCATGCTACACACCACAACCAGATCCAAACTATCACTTGAGGCTTCTCGTGGAGCAGATTGCTCGAGTACCTGAGAGATCGTTTCCCAAGATGGATCCTCATATCCAGACCATTGCCCAAACTGACTTCTCTTTTCCTCGTGAAACAGAGGATACCCTTCGGAGCATAAAGAAGCACATAGAGGTCATTGAGAAAGCTTGTTCACAGTTTTCTCAAGACAACCTTTATGCTGCCATACAAGTAGAGGAGGAGGAAGAAGAAGGCAATCATGAGGATGTTGAGGAGCATACAAAAGTTGTCACGGAATGCTCCCATGATAATCATGATCAAGTGTATCCTCTGGTGGTAGATCACAACTTTCCCCATTTCCGCTCTAACATGCTAAGTCCGAGCGAGGAGGTGCAAGCTGAACTTATTGAGAACCTTGCATGGCGACTTGCTCTCCAATTCGTTATGGAAGAAGAAGAGAAAGAAAGGGTGAGGAAAGAAGTTGTGGAGGATGAGGAAGAAAGCAAAAAAGAGGTAGTTCTTGATCTTTTCCAAGGAGAGAGACCACATTTTGAAGAAGGAAGGGGGTTGAAGAAGCGAGTGTTGTCCAGGCTAAGGATAAAATTGGGGTGGAAGAGGCTTGCACCGGCCCTATGATACAAGTAATATCCCCACCAAACTTCGAGGAACTGCTTAGAAAGGACCCATTTGCAGTGTCTCTTTGCCAGACCAAGAGCACATCGACATTGGTCCGTCTTGGTGGACGCGATGGTGGTCAGTCGATACGGTTATATTTTGTTTAGGGCAATGAGACAAGAGAAGAAACGAGGAAGAGGTCTCGAGGGTGGAGACTTAAGCTGCATCAAGTGCACGAGCTTTTCCTCACCTGCCACACCACCTGCTCGTGACTTGAGACTCCACCTCATAGATGAGAACATCAACTTCAAAGAGGTTCTAGAATGGACCGAAACTTAGGAGTTACCGTCTGCCTCACGACGTGTGACTCAATCCTACTGTCACTCTAGAAAATGGCCAAGTGTAACCACTTCCTAAAGCGTAGTATAGCGGGTTTGGTTTTTAATGTCAACCCGGGTCCTAGATGTGATGACTACTCAGCGAATTCTTATTATTTAGCGGTGAAACTTTAGTTCAGGTTCAAACAAGCAAACAAACAAAGCAAGCAAGAAGGTTGTTTTCAAGTCAAGAGAGGTCACCCGGATATGGTTCCCCCTAGACTGCAGTTAAGCCGGATTGCAATTTACCAAGTTCAGTTTTAATGATAGTTATACTGCGGGAGGTTCTTAAGCAGTCTGAAGTCTCGACTAAAGGTCTCCAGACCCTCTCAATCTGAGTCCCCAGTGGGCGACTAACCTCCACCGGAGTAAACAGATTGAGGCCCTAACGAACCAAACCTCCACTACCGAAGTAAATTCGGTACAGAATAGTGAATTGGCTCCTCGACTAAAGTCGCCCATTCACTACCTTCAATTAAGGGTGGTCTATCAACCTAGGCAAATATTCTCTTTCTAGGTTAAAGCAGAAACAACAGGAATTTGATCACGATTCATGTCATTCAACAAATCAAACCTCAATTGAATATAATCAAATCATAGAATCTGTACTTGGGTTCATACAATCAGACCTAACATACAAATCTAGGGTTCTCCATACCCAGATGAATAAGAAAACTACTCCATAGAAAGAGATGGAAAATCTAGCTCAGAGGCGGAAACCATACTGTGAAGGATGATAATCTGCTTCTGGTGCTCAATCGAATCTTCTCCAAGCTCAAGCCGGGCTCCCGTGATGATGGAGATCGATCAAAGACACTTGAAGACTCGGTTTCGTCACTTTCTCTCTCTAGGTATCGCTCTGTCTCTCAAAAACTAGGAACCCCTTCTCCTTTGGCTCAAATCTGCCAAAAAAGGTCAACCCTGGGCAAAACACGGTCGAGGGCACGGCCGTGCTTTGCTTTTGCTCGCCCGTGCCCTTGCCACGTGTTAAAAACACGCCCACATCTTGGGGAAACACGGTCGCGCCTAAAGTTGGACACAACCGTGTTTTCAGTCACTCCCGCCCGTGTTTTGGGCTAGCGCAGGAACATCTTGGATCAAGCCTCGGCAGTAAAAACACGGTCCAGGAACACGGCCGTGCTTTGGTTTAGGCCAGCCCGTGCTTTGTCCCCAGCTCAACCGAATGACTTCCAAATGCTCCGAAACTCGTGCTTAGCCTTTCCTTCGATGTCTGGGACCTGAAATGGGACAAAGTAGCACAACCCGGATAAGAACTAGGGGTGCAAACATGTGCATTTACATCGTTATCAAATTTCCCCACACTTAACCCTTTGCTTGTCCCCAAGCAAACCAAGTCAGACACACGGTAAGCTCAAAACGTTTTAATCAAGCAGGCTTTAGGGCATGTCATATCGGCACAAAACACGTGAATCATACTGGCTTTTTATCATTAACACATGGAGAACCTCAACAGCAACCTAGACAACCACCACAAAAGACATTCGAATGCAGCAAAGTCGAGCAAAGGAAGAGTCTCCCTTATGTTCACCAACCAACATAGACTTGACTCAACCACTTATTCAAAACAGTCACTTCACGCATAAAGCTCAAGATATCAGAAATAAGACCGAGCAATCTAGGTCCTCACCGGGGTAAAGAGTATAGATAATATGAGAAAATGAATCTCTCATTCTCGACCAGTGGGGTCAGGACAATTTGATGCGAAAAATGACACAACACCTAACAATAGCCAAGTGTAACCAATGAAAGGGACTACAGTATAGCGGCACAAGTAATAAATATCGAATCCATGGGTCTCTAGAGTTACTATTACTCAGCTTCAGTTCATTATCTAGCAAAGTAGATTAAGGATTGATTTACTAAACTACTCTACTAACTACTCTACTAATTACAAGTTGGGAACTCACTTAGGTATGATTCCCCCTAGCTCCTCAATTAGGTCCAAGTTGCAATTACTTTTGGTTGATCTACTGTTGATTAAAATGTGGAAGATCCAAAATTAGCTCGGAATCTCTTAAGCTGACCAAGCCCTATTAGACAGAATACCCGGCAGGCGACTAGCCTTCACCGGGATAGACTGCTAAGGCGATTCACACAGATCTCCACTACTGGAATGAATTCCAGTACAAAGCAGTGAATTGATTGACTCTCGCACAACTAATTCACCACTATCAATCAAGGAAGCTCTCTTAACCTAATCAGATTCTATCTATCATAGGTTAAAGTAGAAATCAAGAGAAGATGATCAGGCTTCAATCGACTCTATAACTCATGCCTCAATCGATTATAATCAAACAATATAGCATCCAAAACTTCATACAAGAAAGATCCTAACATATGGAACTAGGGTTCCTCACAACCTAAGTGAAGGGAAGTTACTCCATAGAGAAGAGAGAGACTGCAGAAATCTGATCTAGATCTTCAATCTCCATCTCCAAGCTTGATTCCCGAGCTCCAAAGAAATCCTCCAAAATAGCTCCAAGAATGTTCCCAAGTCGCTCTCTCTCTCTAGGGTTCGTCCCTTGGGTGTTTGGGATCCAAAACCCAACTCCCTCTCTCCTTTGGCTCGAAATTCGCTTAAAACCAGAAATTCCCGACTGACACGGCCAGGCCACACGGTCGTGTGACTCTCCCAGGCTGCCCGTGTGAGTTTGCAAAACGCAGCGTTTCGATAAGTGGCTTCAGGCTTCCTACAAGGCCATGACCCACACGGCCGTGTGGACTTCCAGGGTGCCCGTGTGAGTTCCCTGGAATTTCCACACGGCCACCAGGGGTCCCCTACACGGCCGTGTGGCTTTTAGGCATGCCCGTGTGACTTCTCAGCTTCTCGCCAAACGTCCAAACTTCGTCCAATCGACCCCGAACTCGTTCCCAAACCTTCATTCACGTACTAGGACCTGAAATATCACAAAGAAGCACAACCTAGCGTGAAATCATCCTAAAACGCGAGAATCGACATCTCAAACGGCTCAAGAATAGGGGTAAAAACATGTGTAATCAATGGTCTATCAGGTGTCACCACTAACTAATCCAGAGGTCTTAGACACAGGTTCAGATGACTGGCTAGGGTCTTGGACATGGGGAAAAGGCCTTTTTAGGTGGTGGAAGTATTCATAGCACAAGGTTCCACAATTCCAAACCCAACACACTCACAGTCAATCAAACCACTCTTTCTTTCTGCCATTCTGCATTACTCACATTCCTTAGAGCACAAGAGCGAAGGAGGTCACATAAATGTTATTAGTTCCAAGCCACACTGCTGAGAAACACTACTCTATGGGCGCTATTCAGATTTTGTGGTCCTGGCTCGCTTTTTCTTTCATTCACTTTTTTTTTTCTTTTTTTTCATTTCTTGAGAGAACCACCACCTATGCACATTTTGCAAACACATGCCCTTTTTATTTTTTCAAGAACTACCTCCAACTCTCACATTATATTTAGCAGAGAACATGGAGAAACCACTCTGTAGACCGAAAGAAAGGATAACACACGGCTCAAAGGGCTGACTAGGGGGTAGGACACATCAGGACAGTCAATTTGGTCGTGGCTAATCCTATGCCTCCATCATCTTTGCTAATGACAACGTGAATGCTGCACATCTTGGAAGAGGGAACTATCGCACAAGAAAGAAACGAGCAGGCTCTAGTATCACATGGCTACCTATATGCTCTATCTCTCATTCTGATTCCCTGAACTAGATGCATAAATGACTGTCAAGAGCAAGTGATCAATCCAAGTCACAGTTGGTAAGCAAACAGTTGAAAAACTGAACCCCTACACAGTTCTACTACACATCTCTGTCATCATAATAAGATGTCTTAGTCACACTCAAGTCGTCATGCATTAAGTCAAAAGCCATTCAATTCACCAATCACATCCACAGTGCCAATACGATCAAACATCAAGCAAACAACAGTACTTGGAGCCCTCAAATCTCGAGATTTGGACAGCGGACTAGGCTCCAAGCACACATATATGCGTTCCAATTAATACAAAGAACCCCCCACACTTAAATGCGACAGTGTCCTCAATGGAGCAGAGGGAAGGGGAACGATGTTACCGTGAAATGAGATGAGGAACGGGGACTGGAAGGCAGACCAGTCTATAGTAGGGGACTGGAAGGGGGACCAGTCCAAGGCACAGAGCTAAAGTCAACAAAAGACACACACTGGGTGAAAGAACCGGAGTTCCAAGTCTACAATCCAAAATAAAATAAAATAAAAAAACGAAACAACAAAAACATGGAGTCTCAGTCTGGAAAAGAAATGAAACGCAGAACCAGCCACTCGCCACTAAAACACATCGCCACCATCGCCGGTGGGTGGGGGGTACTCGTCCTCATACCCCGGTGACTACACGAAGGGGTAGTGGACTGAGTTCGGGTCCAGGACCAGGTACGACATGATATAGTTCTGGCCGGACATGAGATGACTGCCGCGATCCCGCTAACAACCAAGGCGGGTGAAAATGCTCTCCTGGCCGGCCAGAATGCGCTCGTTCTCCTGAGCGATGGCCGCCAACTGGTCAGAAATGGAGACCACGGGAGCGGGAGACCCGGGAGCAAGAGACCTCAGAGCAGCGGAGGGGCTCGCAGGGGTCTGGGCACGTCGAACAGTACGACGGGGAACCCAGCGTCCCCCAGTTGCGCTCGACTCCGGCTGGTCGCCCTCTGCAGGTTCAGGCAGCCGAGGGAGACCCACAATCCAGTGCAAACGCCCCTGTCGAGCAAGCATGACGCCCCTGTCGAGCAAGCATGTGCTGATGGCAGAGGGTGGCTTCGCTAAATGGGGTCGGTGCTCGGACCATGGTCGACCCCGTAGTAGCGGGCTAAGGCGGTGATCACCGGGCCACAGACAAGGTGTCAATCCTGGTTGGCGGAGGCTTTGGTAAAAGTCCGGGCGAGCACAGAGCCCAGCTCGATGGTGTCCTCAGAACGACCCATCGCTTGCATGAAGAACAGGGTCCGGAGGGTGACCCGGTTGGACGAGCCTCGGCTGGGGGTGCAGGACTAGGTGAGCAAATGGTTGAGGATCCGCCACTCCGGACGGAGGAGAGTGGCCCGCGTCTGGCTGGCGATGTAGCGCTCATCCACATAGTTCGACAGGCAGATGCGCTGGAAGTACGCCTGGTCAGCAAAGTCGGTGAGATCGGTCACCTCCACGTACAGGGGCCGATCGCTGGGGGGAGTTGAGCCGAAGTGCAGTGGCCAACTCCCAGTAACTGATGGAGTGCTCCACCCCGCCGAGCGTGAAATGAACCGCATCACAATGGTCGGCTGACCCCCTCTATGATTGGCGGAAGGATGCGTGGAACTCCCAGACGAGCATCTGGTAGGTCGGCTCGGCGAGGCAGAGAAGGCGTCACCAACCATAGGCGCGAACAGTTGCCTCCATCTGCAGCCTGGCATGAAGTGCCGCGAACACCTCAAAGTCGAGATGCAGGTGCTCGGGGATATGGCTGGTTCGGATGGTCCGCATCAGATGGCGTTGTGTGATGCTCAACTGGTCGAGGTAGGCTTCCATGATCCTGCAAAGCACAAGGATGTACAAATGGCACACAAGCGAACAGGCTCAATGTTAGCCAAAAACCACACTGGGAGCCCTCATATCGAAAGATATGGACAGTGGACTAGGCTCCCAGTGAAACAAGCATACCAATCACACGAGAATCACACAAACAAACACACTGGGGACCCTCAAATCGAGCGATTTGGACAGTGGACTAGGCCCCCCGTGGAACAAACACAAAATCCATACCAAATATTCACTAATCGATCTATCATACATAAGCCACACAAGCACGCATACAATGCCAACATGCAAATGGTAGGCCGAAGAACTGAATTCCCGGGACAAAAATATAACAAGCAAAGAGCGCCATCAGCCTACCAAAACATTCGCAAATCATGCCACTATCCCAAATTCTTCACCTAACTCTAGGTATCGATTCTCCAAAAATAAAATGGTAGGCTATGAAAATACACCTGGAGACGCAAGTAGATACCGCAAGGGAGGTGAAGAAAAGGGAAGAAAACACCCCAAAGTCGCCGGAAGACCCACCGGAGACTCGCCGGAGAACTAGCCACCGGCGACCGAACCTCGCCCAAACAAGCCCAAACCTCTGGGTATTTTGGTCCTCGACGCCAGGAGCGTGGGGCCGGTCGCGGTTTGTGATTTGGAGGTCGGGAGAGGGAGTTATGGCCGAAAAACCGGAGGAGAAGAGGAGAAAACCGAAAATCCGGCGAGGAGGGGCGGTGGAAAATTTGAAAAAATGATTCTGGGGGAGAGAGGGGCCAGAAATCGATTTTTATAGGGGGATTAAAACACGGGCGGGCTGAAACACGGCCGTATTTTCCATGCTCCGCGCCCGTGTTTTTATTGCCG